GGTCACAGAGGAAAATGCTGTTCTGAACTCTATGGGCCACACAGAAGATGTCACATGGTCTCTGTAACTTTCTTTCCATCATAGGGACAGTGACAGCAACTCACACACAGCACCTACCACATGCCAGGCTTCCTATAGATTATCTCCTTGAATCCTCTTGCCAACTCTGTGATGTAGCTGCTATTATTATGCCCCCCCCTTTTTTTATTGAGACACAGTCTCGCTCTGTCCCCCCGGCTGGAGTGCAGTAGCGAAATCTTGGCTCAGTGCAATCTCCACCTCCCGGGCTCAAGCGATTCTGTTGCCTCAGCCTCCTGAGTAGCTGGGACTACAGGAGCACACCACCACACCCTGCTATTTTAAAAATATTTTTACTACAGACCTGGTTTCGCCATGTCAGTCAGGCTGGTCTCCTGACCTCAAGTGATCCGCCCGCCAGGCCTCCCAAAGTGCTGGGATTACAGGCGTGACCCATGGTGCCCAGCGAATTATTTGCATTTTACATATGATAAAAGTGCTGCATGGAGAGACCTAGTAATGTGCCCAAGGTGTGACAGCCATGAAGTGGGAGAGCTGACATTTGAACCCAGGCAGGCATCAGCCTATGCCATCCCGTCTCTCCCAGGCAGCCACACACCCTGGGATGACAGGTGAGAGGCTCTGGCCAGACAGGGGTGACATCACCTCCCTTCCCTCCCAGGCCTGGGGGCTCCTGGCTCCCACTTACTATGCAGATATCCCCAGCCCGTGACGTAGCAGGGGTAGTTGTTGGGTAGAATGGCGCCGGCAGGAGGGAGGCAGGCCAACTGGATCTTGTCGGTGAGGGAGACGGGGTTAGCCAGTTTGAGCAGGGCAATGTCGTACCTGGGTCAGTGCAGAGGCAGAGCGTGAGGACAGGGTTGAGTTTTCCTGCCCTGTGGGGCTTTGGAGGGCTCTGAGACCTTGTCATCATTCCCTGTTCGTTACCCCAGCTTGCTCTGAGTGTCAGGGTCCCAGGGCATGTTTGAAAATGCAGAGGACCTTGTTGAAAGGAGCAAGGCAGGAGAGATTGTGTCCTACTCCAGGGACAGTCACAGGGTCGACAGCACTGTCCCTGTGTCCCCAGGACTTGGCATGAAGTAGATACATGCTCAGCAGACAGGGTCCCTGCAGGCTTGACTGGTAGCAAACCCAGGTCACTCTGGCAGTCTTTGCTTCTCCCTCCCCAGGTCACATCCCCACCCCAGACATCTTTGGAGCTGGTTCCACATCTAAGAGGCCAGAGCTCCTTCTCCCTCCCTATAGAAGAAGCAGAGGGCATGTGGTGGAGTTGAGACCCTTGCCTCTGTGAGACCCCCATGTGTTCCCTGACAACCTCACCCCCAAGTGCACCCAGACAGAAACGAACCCTTTGGAGACATTGCTGGAGTTCCATTTCGCATGCACCACAATCAGAGAGACACTGACGACCAGCGAGCCAGACTCCCCAATGTAGAGGTTGTGCCGTCCCAGCGCCACGCCATAGGTCCTGTTGTCGCTGGGAGAAAGGGGGCCCAGGGAGAGGGTCACCTCCAGAGGCCTGGCTTTGGACAGTGTTGGGATAGACCCAAGTAACTGGCTGCTGCGTGAGCCGCTAGGTGGGGCTTGGGCTTGGGGATCTTTCCTCCCCTGGGACAATCAGTTCGTTATAATAGAGCCCAAAGTATATAACGTAAGAACTATAATCATATAATAATTTTTACTATACTAACTTTAAACTATAATATAAAATAAATGTTGTAATAACACAGACTCTGTAGGATTATGGAGGGAATGAGATATACACAGAGAAAACAAGAGTCATTTGCTCTCAAGGACATTTTTCCCACCTTTCATTTTCAGATGGGGAAACCAAGGCCCAGAGAGGAGTAACCTGGCCCAGAGTCCCACCGTTAGTGAGAAACCAGAACCAGAAGCCAGTACTCCTGACTGTAAGTCTCTATTAGTTTCCCCATCACCTCCTAGAGCTTATTATAAATTAGATGGGAGAAGGGATCACTCCTGGTAGGGAGTCACAACGACCCAGCAAAAGCTCTGGTGAGTTCCAGCTGTGATGAGCAGAGGTCACGGACAACGAAGAGGAAAAATGAACAACGCTGCAGAATCTCGTGGGTCTTTATAATTAGTCTATAATTCAGAATTAGCTTTCACTGGGCACTTACTAAGTGCCAGGCCCTTTAGTAAATCAACTCATTGAATTCACACTAAATTCTGTTACTCCATTGTTTTCTGCAGGTGATGGTATTGAAGCTTTGAGAAGTCAAGTTGTTCAAGGGAACCCAATTCCAGATCCCGAGGCCACATGTAGTTTCCCCAAGAGGGCAGAGATTAGGCCTTCCCCTTCTCCTCATCCTCCCTCAGTACCTGGCACAGGGCACCCCATCTGTGCCATGTACTGACATTGATGGACCAACACACTGAACCATTGATTGACTACAGCTTGTGTCTCGGCCAGGCTAGTGGTTATTTGCAAGGCTGCTTTATGTAGTGTGCTTCAGGCCATTTAAGACCCCAGTGCAGAAATGAGCACCGGCTGGTGAGCAGGCCAAGCGCCCAGGGGATGGCAGTTACCTGATGCAGTGGGCAGCCGTCAGGACCCAGTTGTTGGCTATCAGGGTCCCTCCGCAGATGGGGTACCAATTGCCATTGGAGGTGTATAGCACGGAGACCTGGGGAGAAACACAGGACCTCTGTGGCTCTGGCTGAAAAAGCAGGGCCTCCCTGCACTCCAGTTTCCCAAGAACACGGCTGAGACTAGGGTAAGGGGGAGTGAGGCCCTCACCTCAGGTGCACAACTTAAGGGGGCACCCAAAACCTCAGATATCATGATAAAAAACATGTTAATGCAATCTATATTAAAACCAATCAGGCCAGGCATGGTGGCTCATGCCTGTAATGCCAACACTTTGGGAGGCCAAGGAAGGAGGATCACTTGAGCCCCGGAGTTTGAGACCAGCCTGGGCAAGATGGTGAAACCCCATCTGATAAGGTTTGACTGTGTCCCTACCCAAATCTCATCTTGAATTGTAGCATAATCCCCACGTGTCGTGGGAGGAACCTGGTGGGAGGTTATGGAATCATCAGTGTGGTTACCCCCATGCTGTTTTCATGATAGTGAGTTCTCACAGGATCTGATGGTTTTATAAGGGGCTTTCCCCCACTTTTGCTCCGCATTTCTCCCTGCTGCTTCTGTGTGAACAAGGATGTGTTTCCTTCCCCTTCTGCCGTGATTGTAAGTTTCCTGAGGCCTCCCTAGCCATGCTGAGCTGTGAGTCAATTAAACCTCTTTCCTTTATAAATTACCCAGTCTCAGGTATGTCTTTCTTAGCAGTGTGAGGAAGGACTAATACATTGTAGCTACAAAAAAAAAAAAAACCCCAAAATTAGCCGCTGGGTGCGGTGGTGCATGCCTATAGTCCCAGCTACTCAAAAGGCGGAGGTGGGAGTATTGCTTGAGCCCAGGAGTTTGTGAAGCAGTCTGGGCACCATAGTGAGAACTTGACTCTACCCAAAAATTTTAAAAATAAAATAAAAATTAACTGGGAGTGGTGGTGCACACCTGTAGTCTCAGCTACTCAGGAGGCTGAGGTGGGAGGATTGCTTGATCTCAGAAAGTCTAGGTTGCAGGGAGCTGTGATTGCTCTGTGCTCAGCCTGGGTGACATGGGAAGGGCATGTATCTGCTCTGCCCCCCCAACAAAAAGCAACAACAAAATTAACGCAAAAAATCTGGGATAGAAAAACAAAAACCATATAGACTATTAAAAAATAGCTATTCTGCCTGGAGTGCTGCCTTATGCCTGTGATTGTAACACTTTGGGAGATAGAGGTTGGTGAATTCACCTGAGGTCAGGAGTTGGAGACCAGCCTGGCCAACATGGTGAAATCCCGTCTTTACTAAAAATACATGTATTATCCAGGTGTGATGGCGTGTGTCTGTAATCTCAGCTACTCAGGAGGCTGAGGCAAGAGAATCATTTGAACCCGGGAGGCAGATGTTGCAGTGAGCCGAGATCGTGCTATTGCACTCCAGCCTGGGTGACAAGAGTGAGACTTCATGTCAAAACAAAAACAAAAAACCCCCAAAAACCCCTGTTCTGAACATCTTTCTGCAACTGGATTGGTTGGGATCTTCCCCTCCTTGGGAGCTCTTTCCTTAGCTCCCTCCAGTTTAGTATGTCCAAAACAAAACTCCTGACTTATCCCAAACATGGTCTTTCCCCTGGGTCCTCTGTCACAGTCAATGGCAACTCCACTGCTGCTCGGGCCACAAACCTTGGTGTCATCCTTGGCTCCTGTCTTTCCCTGTTATCCGTCATTCCAGTCCAGTAGCAAATCCCATCAGCTCTAGCTTGGGAATATGTGGAGGGGTTGCTATCCCTTGGTCACTACCTCAACTGCATGTCCCAGTCATCCTCTCTTCTCAATGATCACTCTACTCTCCCATCTCTTCTCCGCGCCCCTACCCACATTTTCTCAACACAGTAGCGTGAATGACCCTTTTTGAATGGAAGTCAGATGACTTCTCTTCTCTGCTCAGGCCCTCCAGTGGCTCCCCCTTTACAGCTTATAAAACCTAAGACGGTCTGATGACCTACTAGGCCCTCTGTGGCCTCTCTGACTCCATAGGCTCCCACTCTCCTCTCCTCCAGCCACACTGACTTCCATGCAGTTCTGCAAATACACCAAACCCACTTCTGCCTCAGGGCCTTTGCACTGGCTCTTCTTCCTGCCTGGAATATTCTTGCAAATATCGATGTAGCTCTTTCCTTCACTTCCTGTTGGTCTCTGCTCAAAGTTACCTTCTCTGTGAGGTCTTCTATGACCATGCTGTCCCCAAGAGTGTGCACACACACTTACATGCACGCTCATGTACATACCCACACACAGACACACTCGCCTCCTTCTTCTTGCTCTGCGTTACTCTTCATCATAGTATCTGCATTTTCTGGCATGTTATGAGTTTACTCATTCAGTTGTTTTTTGTCTCACTCCTCTATTTTATTTTTATTTTTTTGAGATGGAGTCTTGCTTTGTTGCTCAGGTTGGAGTGCAGGGGCACCATCTCGGCTCACTGCAACCTCTGTCTCCTGGGTTCAAGTGATTCTCCTGTCTAAGCCACCAGAGTAGTTGTGATTACAGGTGCCTGTCACCACACCTGGCTAATTTACTTGCATTTTTAGTAGAGACGGGGTTTCGCCATGTTAGCTAGGCTGATCTGGAACTCCTGACCTCAGGTGATCCGCCCACCTCGGCCTCCAAAAGTACTGGGATTACAGGTGTTTGAGCCACCGTGCCTGGCCACGTCTCCACTTTAATAAAAGCTTCATGAATTTTTCCCCCCGCTGCTATGTGCCAGGCGCCTAGAACAGTGCCTGGTACATACTGGGTCTTTAACAAATGCTTACTGATTGAACAAGTGAGTGAATAAGCAAATGAATAGAATGAAAGAGATCACCAGGGCTGGGTGATCTTGTCTCCTGCTTGTCTAGTTTCCCCTGAAGACCAAATCCACTCATAGGAACATGAGACTGCGTAAGTGGACCTTACTCCTCTGTCCCCCGGCTCCTCATGTTTTTTTAAAAAAATTTTTTCAGGTTAAAAAATGGTTTCTAGGCAGGGCACAGGGGGTCGCGCCTGTAATCCCAGCTACTCAGGGGGCTGAGGCAGGAGAATCACTTGAACTCGGGTGGCGGAGGTTGCAGTGAGCCGAGATGGCACCACCCCACTCCAGCATGGCGACAGAGTGAGGGTCTGTCTCAAAAAAAAAAAAAAAAGGTTTCTGTTTAGATTGACAGTTTAACAGGTGTGGGGTACAATTTTCAAGTGGTGGCGGCTGGACACCGTGACTCACGCCTGTAATCCCAGCATTTTGGGAGGCCAAGGCGGGTGGGTCACTTGAGGCCAGGCGTTTGACACCAACCTGGCCAACATGATGAGACCCCATCTGTACTAAAAATACAAAAATTAGCCGGGTGTCATGGTGTGTGCCTATAATCCCAGCTACTTGGGAGGCTGAGGTAGGAGAATCACTTAAACTCAGGAGACGGAGGTTGCAGTGAGCCGGGGTGGCGCCACTGTACTCCAGCCTGGGTGACAGAGTGAGACCCTGTCTTTAAAAAAAAAAAAGAAAAAGAACTTTAAGGTGGTGACATCTGACACTGTTTTAGTCTCTAATGAAGCGTTCCATGACCTTCCTGTTCCTTCATTCCTCCTCCCCTGTCTTTTAATTCCCTGCCACGGCCAAGCAGAGGGGAGGGAGGTGACAGTAGGGCATGGACTACACTGATCGGGCTTCCTGTAACTGTGGGGAACGATGATGTGTTTGTTGGCAGATGCCAGATGCCTGGTTTTCTCTGAACATTCTTGTTTTTAATTAGCCATTTGGCATTTCTCGTTTGTGTGACATTAAGAGGTCTCAGATGAACTG